TTTAAAACTTTCAATATCATTATTTGAAATTTAATGGACTATATTGATCGAAACACTGAACATTAAAGAAATAAAATACAAAGTCAAAATTTTTTTACTAACGTTGATTTAATTTTGATGTTAGTCATTCTGAAAAAAATTATTTTATTAATTTCCAAAATTTGTCCAAAACTCGAAACATTGGGAACCACATTTGTGAAGGCCAAAATTTTGGAGACTACTTAGGCGCACAGGTCATCGGAGAGGGAACAACTTTGCAATCGTCTCTTTGATCTAAATAACCATCCAATAATAACACAGAAATCTCGATAACTCGCTCTTTTTAAACATAAAATCCTGTAAGAATCCACCTACTGACTCTAGTTTTACCAAAGATGAAATTAAAGCCTAGAATTCTAATACCAATCTTATTCTCTCGAAGAGTTGGCACAATAATTGAAGACGACTTTTACTAATTCAAAGTCTCTCTCTTGCTCTCTTCTCCTTTCCTAGAAGAAATCCTCCAAGGGCGGAACAGAAAAATCCATTTTTCTCCATCCGATCATCAGAACTGTCTCTCCGCTCGCAGTCAAGGTGCATTCGATCTTTGAACCCTCAAAGCTGGTGTTTTCTTTTGCATTTTGGTTATTACAACTGCTTCATGCAAATCTCTTTGTCATCAAATAGAGCCATGAAATTCTGCTCCCTGTTGCTTCTACTTGAAAGTGGTCTATATAATCACTTTGTCCCCTTGATTGATTACTGCTGCTTTGATCATAACTTCTTGTATGGTATGCATAATCCTCAAGCATTTTAGTTTGTTCAAGACATAGAAGATGAGTTGTAGTACTCGAATTCTTTTGTTCGTCATGTTGACCAAATTTGCTAATATTCTTTTTTTTCCCTGTTCTGAGAAACCTTAATCATTGCTAGCCCTCAAAGTCAATAACTTGGTTCCATAGGAATGTTTGTTTTCTTTCTTGAATGACTTTTGTCATATTACTAGTTGTCGTCAAGTTGTCCGTACACAGTAGTGTTATTACATCGCGAGTGAAGAAACAGAAAGTTCGGATACTTACGGATACGGGGTGCAACCGTTTGTGCCGGTTGTATTCATTTTTCAGAGCGCGTAACTTTCATTGCACACGATGTAACTTACTTTGAACACAAAGTAATTTTACAACACTTTTTTGTGAGCCCCACACATGGCGTGAAAATCGAGTTACATGGTGTAATCTGAGCCACACAAATTTTTGAAGCCACATCGTGACCGTGAACCTTCAGGAACGGTTGTCACTGACAATCGTTCCTGTCCCGTATCCGATACTTCCACTAACCTGTAAAAACTGTCATATCTTCCTTTTTGGTTTCTTCTAAAATTATGTCACACATAAAATCAAGAAAAGCTAAATTTCTACATACTAAAGTTACAAGTTTTATGAGATCATCAATTCACTAATGGTATGATCATCAGTTCACTGAACGTATGAACTGAAGGTGGAGGGTGTAGAATCTCTAGATCATCAAATCCATCAAACTATTTTCTTAAGGTGGACAGGCGCAGATTTAAGTCCCTTTCAATTTAATTTGGCATAGTTGGCACCCAAAAATTCTCTTTAGTGCCATTGCTGGTCCCACCTTCTATTCAGTACTTGTTCAGCTACGCGATTGGAGCAGAATTTTCATACAAATGGTGCGTTTGCTGTAATTCTTTCAGAAATTGATAACATGTTCACAGTTGTGATTGTATTCGTATATTAAGTTAGTGTATATGAACAAAATCTATGTGTACAACAAAGTAATATTAGCCTACATTAAATAATATAACATTCATACAACTACATCAAAACTATAGCTGTCAAACAAACTCATTTAATTAAATTTGCCCGTACCCGTCCATGAATAGATGGGTATGGGTATCTTAAATTTTTACATATGGGTATACCCATCAAATCCAATTAACCCATTTAGAATTGTTTTCCTCCAAACCTCTTCTCTTCCCCCCACCCATTTTTTTTTTCAAATTTTTCATTTTGCCATGATATTAACTACTTTTGTTTCATTATTATTATTATTTGTTGGTTTTATCGTATCATTTTATTTTCTCTTAGTTTGTTAGCTTGCTCATTTCTCAACATTACCAATTTATGACAAGTTTTATCCTCTTTTCTTACTTTTCCAAAATGAAATTTTAAATTTACACACAAAAAAATGCTAGAGATTCAAAATTTTTGGATTAAGTTTTTATATTACCTTTTATAGTACTTAGTTCAAATTTTTATATTCTTATTGTTTAATTATTAAATAGTATGTAAATTTGCGACATAGAGTACGGATGAAAAAAAATTAATAATTAGGCTTATTGAGCATTATAAGTAAATATTTAAAACTAATGATGGGTGCAAAGGATGATATAAATTGATAACTTAGTTTGTAAAAATGAATTTACAAAAAGTTAAAATAAATAGGTTATAAATGGGTAATTGAGTTGCCCAATTTATTTTTTGATTTACCCATTTATACCTATCTAATTAAATTGGTATAAATGGGTTCACTCACTTATACCTATTATCCATTTTACCCAACCTAAACCCGCCCAAATCGCCCATCCGCCCAAATCGCCCATTTTGGCACCTCTAATCAAAACCGCAACTGTGTACCTATCCCAAACCCTTTGTTTCCACTGCTAGAAAGACCGATTGGCATGTAGAGGAAGTTAAAGATAGTGGAACTGTAGGCACATGCTCAATATTGTGGGTTTTGGACATGTATATTTTTCTTTCCACTGTAGGCTAGAAATGAAAAAAAAAAAAAAAAGAGTTAAATAAACTGGATTTATACAGTCACCCAATGAAATTAGAATTCTCATTCTTATTAGCATCTTCGAAACAAACTTTCTTTCTTTTTTTTTTTTTCCGAGTTGTATGTGATATTGTTAGTCATCAGGAATTGTTGAACCAGAGCTGTAAGTGACGTCTTTCTTCTGATGGAGTTATCTTGGTGTACTAAATTTCCAACTTAAGAGAAATTAGCTTCGAAAATTTTGAAACTATTTAAATGGGATTATTTTGGTTCCATAAAAGATTTGACAGGTTTAATAAGCACATTAGAAATTTCTGACATCCATTATGTGCTATTTCAACTTAAAATTTATACATGCCTAACTCAAAATTGAATTCTCTCTTTAACAATTAATTTTTCAGGATGCCGTCCTGTTTACCAAACATTATTGGGGCCGTAATAGCGCCTGGTGTTCAAGCCATTAAAGATGCAAGCACGTGTTTGAAAGACAAATATGATAAAGTGAAGAAGATTAAGCAGAACTTGGATAAGCTCGAAGACGAAGAGAAATCGCTTGGTGCTACCAAATCAACATTGGAGGAAGCAATTGCGAGGAACAGTATTGACATGGAACCAACCGAAATAGCCAATACTTGGCTTGAGCAGGTAAAGGAGAGGGAAAGAGAAGTCCAAGAACTGAAAAACAAATATCTTCATATCCATAAGTGCCTTTGCGGGATGTGGCCATTCTATAAGCTTATGAAGCTCAGCGAAGATCTAAAGGAGAAAACGGATGAGCTGAAAGAGTTAAGAGACAACATTGACTTGCAGAATGCATTGAGGGAGAAGCAATTCGAGCCAGGGGAAATAATGCTTGGTGGAGATGGAGATCATATCCCTATATCAATGTCTGAGACGGTAGAAGAGCTGCTGAAGTGGCTGGATGATGAAGAGGTGAGGAGGATTGGCATATGGGGAATGGCAGGAGTAGGAAAAACCCGTATCTTAATGCACCTGAATGACAAAGCATACCAACTGGGTAAACTCAATCCCATTATATGGGTGAAAGTTCAGAAAGAAGGTGCTGTCAATTCGAGCCAGGGGAAATAATGCTTGGTGGAGATGGAGATCATATCCCTATATCAATGTCTGAGACGGTAGAAGAGCTGCTGAAGTGGCTGGATGATGAAGAGGTGAGGAGGATTGGCATATGGGGAATGGCAGGAGTAGGAAAAACCCGTATCTTAATGCACCTGAATGACAAAGCATACCAACTGGGTAAACTCAATCCCATTATATGGGTGAAAGTTCAGAAAGAAGGTGCTGTCAAGAACATTCAATCAGATATTTTGGCAAGGTTAAAGCTAGAGGTTCAACACATGGACAGGACAGCACATGTTGCACACAAAATATCCATGGCCCTGGAGAAACTTGACTATTTATTGCTTCTCGATCAATGTCCTGGAGATATTGATCTCAATGAAGTGGGAATTCATCACAAGCACAAGGGAAAGGTAATTGTTGCATCCCGTGACAAACCTGACTGTGCTGCAATGGATATTCATAGAGTATTCAAAGTGAGCAAGTTGTCTGATGGTGATGCAGAGGAATTGTTCAAGGAAACTGTGGGTGACATTGCAGATCATCCGCACTTTAAAGGAATAAAAGAGCAAATACTCAAACAACTAGGTGGTCTCCCACTTGCAATCAAAACTATTGCCAGAAGTTTAAAAGATCAGCCGGAGGCCATTTGGTATGATACATTGACGGACTTGCAATCTCCGAAGAACTTTGGTGATCAATTTGAGGAACTCATCAAGGCTTTTGAGTTCTCTTACAAGAATCTACGTGGGAATGATTACAGGAAGTGCTTACTTTACGGGGCATTATTTCCACCAGATTATGAAATTGACAAGGATTACTTAACCGAATGTTGGATATCTGAGCAATTTATTTCTGCCACTGAGCTACCTGGAGCAGACACTAATGTCCAACAATTAAGGCTATTTCGAGACAGAGGACACAAAATCCTGCAAGCACTTACAAAAGCTTGTCTATTTGAGTGGTGTTCCAGGTCAAATTTTCTCACCATGCCTACTCCTTTTAGGAAGATTGCACTGACATTTACCTACCCACAATAAGAAGGCAGCAGTAGCAGCAGCTTACTTGTGAGAGGAGAAGAAAAATTGTTTAATCCACCAGAAAAGGAACATTGGATAGGCGCGAAAAGGATCTCGCTAATGTGCAACGGATTCAAGTCCTTGCCAGAATGCCCTGAGTGTCCGACTACCACAACACTATTGCTCCAGAGAAATGAAGAGCTGGACACAATTGATGATTCTTTTTTTGCTTCCATGGTGCAGCTCAGAGTTCTTGATCTCCATCACACCAAAATAGAATCACTACCATCATCTATCACCAAGTTAGTTGAACTGAAATCCTTGTATCTCAATGAGTGCCGGGATTTGGTTTCACTACCCGAACATCTTGGAAAACTTACCAATCTCGAGATTCTTGACATCCGAGACACAGGCCTGCAGAGCTTGCCAACTGAAGTTGCACAGTTAGTAAGCCTGAGGTGCCTGAGAGTTTCCTTTGTTTACGATCCTCTCATAGCAAGGTCTAATGGGGATCATAACAAAGAGGATAATCAGCCACGACGGATTATTCCCCATAATGTGATTGGCCTACTTTGTCATCTTGAAGAATTGACCATCATTGTCGATCCTAGAGAACAAAGCTGGAATGACATTGTCACAAGTGTTGCCAAAGAGATAACAAACTTAGAAAGTCTGACTACACTTTTCATCTACTTCCCAAAAGTAGAATTCCTCACTACTTTCATAGACGAAAGTTGCTCCAGGAGATATTGGCAAGATAACGGTTTAAGAGCATTCAGAATCATAGTTGGCTCAAATGGGGAAAACCATAACAAGGGGTTACATAGTTCTAGAGGACCAGCTGAACGGCACCTGAGATTTTCTGCAGGTGAAAATGTCTGTTGTGAAGCAATTCAAAAGGTTCTCAGAAGGTCCAGTGCTTTTGAATTGATTGGCAACCAAGACACTAAAAGTTTATCAGACATTGGAATTGACTGTATGAGGTCGTTGGCAGTTTGTGTAGTAGAAGGCTGTGATCAGATCAGCTCCATCATCAGCTGTGGCTCTGATGCTGCTAGGATTGTATTTCCATTCCTTGAGAAGCTACATCTGGTTAACCTCAAGAGTTTGTGCTGCATATTGGATGGTTCTGTCGGTACCCAAAGCTTCTCCAAATTGACAAGCATAATAGTTCTTGAATGTCACAAGTTCAAGAAGCTTATTTCACTTGGAATGGTTAAAAATTTGGAGAATCTCAAGCATCTGAAGATTCAAGATTGTTTGGGGATTGAAGAGGTGATAGAAACCGGGGAGATACAGCCGCCCAATGGAGGATTGCCCAACCTTACTGGCTTCCTGCCAAAATTGGAGATTCTGGAGCTCGTGAATCTTCCACTTCTGGTAAGCATATGTAAGAATGACTCACTAGATTGGCGTTCCTTACAGAAAATAGAGATCATTGATTGCTCCAAGCTAAATACTTGGTCAAGAGGGATGTACAATGCAAAGCATTTAAGAAAGATTGAATGCCAAGAACGCTGGTGGGGTCGGTTACCTGATGAAGTTAAAGGGCAGCTAAAGAAGAGGTGTTATTTCATCTGGGAAGAAGCACCTTCTGTTTATTACACACCAAGGGAGGATGGAAGTCATCAGCCTCCTGACTTGCGAAACCTGTCTGACAGATTGGAGCAACACCGGATGCGCCATGAAGATTCAATCTCCCAAGGAAGCTCATCAAGGAGGTATAGTCCTTGATTTTCCATTCGGATGTCCTCAGTGGAAATATGAAATGATTTCCTCTTTTTCTCTCATATTTCGTATGTTAATCTCAGTAATCGTGTCCTAAAACTGATAGATGCATAAGTTCTTCAGCTAGAATATATGATCTCCAAGTGATCTGTCAATTTTACATCTCGCAAGCTCAAAGGATGTGATAAACAACCTTAGACACCAATCTTGAGTTTCTTACTTCATGTTATATTTAGTTTTTGGTATGATTCATAAGCATTTTGTAAGAATGAAGTAGAGATTTTGCCATCTCCTTCGCTTCTACATATGATCATGACTTCCATGATAAAATGAAGTTTGTCATAATTAACAACGTGTAGAACTTCACTGTAAATTTTATTCAGCGTACTACGAATCAAATATTTTCTGCACATACCGTTGTGCATCTAATTGAAGGTTAAGTGTAAGAGATTTCAAGTAATTGTTTTGAGAGAATTGGTAGACAAATATTTTGAATGGTTAATTGCGATTTAATCATGCACATGCAAATGCCAAACATGCAAACAAGTTCTAATTATTGAAAACTATGAGAAGCGGTCCTATTATGGATATTCTCATACAATTGCTTTTGCCATATTGGTAAGCCCCAATTCCCCATCTTCATTGCAGAAGTAGTAAATAGTAAACAACACCATCAAATGCGATTCGAATTTTCTAATAGTAATCTGACTCTACCAATTCCAATCACCATCAGCCCCAACAAACGCATAAACATACTCATCCTCTGTATAAAAATATTAAAGTCTTGGGATAAGCATCACTATACTCAGTGAGTAAAACATAACACTCTTGTTAGATCAAGTGTGTTACATACATGCATACATACATATATATATATATAGGGAAAATCGTTCAAAACGTCCCTCACATTTTGTAAAATGATTTTTTTCGTCCTTCACTTTTAAAAGTATAATTTTATATCCCTTACAAATTCACATTGATCAAATTTGGTCCCCACCTAGGTTTTCAACTAATTTTTGTCGGAATCCATCATGTGTCTTGCATGTGATCATTTTTTAAGGGCAAAATTGTCAAATCAATTTTACACAATTCAATCCATAGTCCTTCATATTTTACAAAATGAATTTTTTCGTCCCTCAAATTTCACAAAATAAACTCTTTTATTCCTCATATTTTACAAAATGAATTTTTTCATCCCTCATTGATCATGTGTATAAATAATTTTTTAAAATTCACGTATGTATTTATTTGATTTTACCTAAGTAATACAAATAACATGTGTATAACTACAATTAGCCTATTTAGACGAAATCAAATAATTTGGACATTGTCGAGTGTTTATATGAAATTAAATTTGGACAAAAAATAATCAAACGAAAAGTATGACAAAAAAAGTATGTAATTGGCACTTTCAAATTTTAAGACAATTATAAGGCAAGTAATTCAACTGTTAGTCTTAAATGTAACGAGTAAAAATTTTAGATTTAAACTGCAATTCGTTAGCATGACTATAGAATTCGAGTTAGGACCCATTAATTAGATGATTTTATTATACAACTCAATAAATGAATTGCTACCAAAAGAGAAAAGACCACAAATATTGAACAAATTCACATCGTGAAATCAAATAGATATATGCATGGGTTTAAAATAAAATTGTTAGTTTTAAACCCATGTATATATCTATTGAATAGCAAGTGTACAATTACAATTAACCTGTTTAGGTGAAATCAAATAAAGATATATTATATGCTATTCGTACTATTCAGGTGAAATCAAATAGATATATACATGGATTAAAAAAAACTATTCATGCACACTGTCAATAAGGGATGAAAAATTCATTTTATGAAATGTGAGGGATGAAAAATTCATTTTGTGAAATGTGAGGGACAAAAAAAATTCATTTTGTGAAATGTGAGGAACTATGGATCAGATTATGTAAATTTTGATTTGACAATTTTACCTCTAAAACATAATCACGTGTAAGGCACATGATGGATTTCGACTAAAAACTAGTCAGAAATCTAGGTAGGGACCAAAGTTGATCAAAGTGAATTTATAAGGGACGTAAAATTATATTTTTAAAAGTAAGGGACGAAAAAAGTTATTTTATTAAATGTGATGGATGTTTTGAACGATTTTTCCATATATATATATATATATATTCATACATTTGCAAATAAGTGTATACAGAAGCACACAAATTACACTAAGATAAACCATTCTTTGCACATTTGTATAACATATAAATATTCATTAAACATTTATCGACTCTTAACAGTTACACACCTTTAACGACGCTGAGTACTCAGTCTAGTGATTAACTTCACTAGAACGGGAAGTCAAATGAACATTCGGAGTACACTTTGACCATTATTGCAATTTACTTTATTTTATATTGATATTTCTAAGACAATAACCCCTATAGATTATGCCGTGACCTTTAGAGCCATTACATCAGCATCCACATTCACTCAAACAATTCATGCTACATTGAATAAACATTTACATTTAACATGCCATATACATATAACTTTCATAGTAAGAAACATTTAGGTGCGACAAATATAATCATACAAGTTCCATTTTCATATGGAAAGTAACACTTCATTAAACATTATAAAAGCGTATTTATGAAAATACAGAGTGAATCCCACTCACCTCAATTAACTTGATAGGAAGTCCTACTAGGGTTCTTGATCCTTGCCTTCTAACCCTAGAGAAATGACATATAAATCTATTACTTTACTGCATTGATCATTCAACATTTATTTTTTAAATCATCCCTAGAGCTGTGTAACCATAGGATACTTAACATTCCTAAACATGTAAAATTTCTATATTTAACATTTCCCTTTCACGTAAGCTTCCCATTTAGAAAGTTTCCCTTCTTAGAAGGTTACTATTTTGGTAAGTCTTCCTAACTTTGGATAGAACCCTAATTTACAAAGGTCCATATTCTTGGAAAGTCAATCATTAAGGAAAGTTTAGTGAAATTAGCTGAGTCTTTATTTTAGAAAGGTCATGCATTTAAAGAAGTCTTTTAATTAGCTTAACCAACTAGGATGCCACCGTTATTAAGTTACCGTTTGCAGGCCATAACGATCATAAAATGACCTTGATATAAATGCAATTATTGTTGTGAATTAGTAGTAACTTTGGTACATTAAAGGTTTAAAAATTAGCCTTAAAACTAAATGAGACATTTCTGAATAATACATGATAATTATAAAAAGATTAATCTTTTATATACTGACAGTGTATATACTTTCGCCATTAGATGCATGACACATAATCTGAATTCAAATTTGAAACTCTAATTTTGCATATATATCGTATATCCAACCGTGATCGTGTATATATACATCGTCAGTATATATAAAATTTACTCATTATAAAACTAGGCTGCTAATTAACAATAATTACTTTTAATGATCAAAATGATCATATTACTTTTCTCAAAAGTACATGTAACCGGTGACATCATTAATGAAAGTCATAGCAAGGTGTTTTTTATTCTTGAATTCTTCCTAAGCATACTAATATGCAAGAAACCGAGAGATAGTCCCTAGTTATATTCTTATAACTTGATCATGTAACTAGTCAGATCTATTATTAGTCTAACTCGATGCTTTAGAATTCGTTGAATAAGAAAGAAAGAAAAACTCATATGGATCACATTATAAATCAAGACTATTGGTCTATATTAATCAAAGTGGTATTATAAAGCATTTGCGAGGTACTGAAACTGATGGTCAGTGTTCAAGCCACGAAAACAAATATTAGCATTCTTAGTCTTTAATATTCTATTAATCAATCATGATAAAAACGATAGTTTGGCCTGTTTAAATTGTGGCGGATGTGAAATAGAAAGCATGATAGTTCTATGAACTTGTATTTGAACAACGGCCATCCATGATTGGAATTATGAGATTTGATAAACTAACAGTTAATAACTCACAAGTTCTTCTAGCATAATTACGATCTATCAAAGCATGCTTAAAGAAAGGTATACTAATTTAAGGTTCTTATTAATTTGTATTAAAGGATTTAAATAAAAAAGATTGCAGTAACAGATTTGGCTCCATTCTTAATGCATGTACAGAGCCACATAGGACAATGGAATCATGTTCGCAACTTTATATTATTCATGCATTCTTGAGCCTCCAAGTAAACACTACATTCAATGGCCAGTACGTTCTTAAAGTAATCAGTAGTTTGCTAAAAGTGAAAACTCAGGCAAGTCAAACTTTGATTTACTACATGACATAAGAAAGATCATCCCATGAATTAATATATCTATGATTTTCAGGTCGGCTGCGGCTACTACTAATACCACTAGATTTGATCAAGAAAGATGCTTAACTGACTAATAACGCATAAAGCCGACAAGTTCGAGTTCTTGCTTGACAAATTACCGCGATGGTCGGCCTTCCTTCTCCCTCTCCTTGTCAAGCCCCTATCGCAAATGTTTTCTTGCTCTCACCCTCAATCTCACCTTGTAACGTAAGAGAAGAAAATAAGATTTAGGCTTTGTGTTTTGAGTATATAAATCCCATGCTAGAATTTATAAACTTTATTTTGGAGAAAACAATGTTATAAAAAAAAGTAATATGTTAATTAGTTGATTGAAATAAGAAAAAGGAAATAATTTGATTGATCACAAATTACTCGCCTTACTAAATATGTTATGTCTTGTTAAGAAAACTAAGAAGAATAGAATGTGATCTTAATAGCGATTATATTCATTGAATCTTGTGGCAAAAGAATTTGACTAATAATATTATTTAGTAATATGGTAAGTGAAAAAAAAAAATAGGAATATTACACACATTCTATCACGTGTCAAAATACTTGGGGCAAATTACACTTTACTCCCCTATGATTTAGCATTTTTGTACATAATTCCCCTATAGTTTCGAAAGCGATACATCATGATTTAGATCAAAGCATCAAAGTGACGGAAATAATCATTCGTAACGGAACCTATTAAAATGTTGAAA